GTGTGTGTGTGTGTGTGTGGGAGGGTGACTCAAATTAAAAGAAATACACTTCAACGACTTTTCTACAGTTCTGTGAAACGTAAGACCCTGGCCTTTCCATTTTACTGTCAGCCAGACCCCCTAACTCTTCAAACTTAATTTAATGAAAACTTTTGGTAGTGCGGCAATCTTTTTTGGACAGCTGTAAGGAAAAGCTATCAAAAGCAATGTTTGTCAATGTGTTTGCTAAACAGCACCATTAATTTTGGGTACATTGGAGCCAAAAGAAGTTGAAAAGTTAACATGTCACTTCATGCTCATCAGGGTAAAATACTACACTAATACTATATGAAAAATGTAACCTAGAAGTTGTACATGTGCAACAGGTTACAATTATTTATAGAAAAGGAATTGAGAAAGGAAGGCTTTTCTCACCCCGGGTTAGAAAAAAAATACGATTGACCTCTCACCCTGGGTGAGACTTGCCAGCATTGGCTATTCTCACCCGGTCGAAACAAGACCCATTTTTCCTCTCTCTCTCTCTCTCTCTCTCTCCCTCCCTCCCTCCCTCTCTCTCTTTCTCTCTCTCCCTCTCTCTCTCTCTCTTGCCCTTTTTAACTCCCAGTGGAGCATAGGCCATCAAAAACATTTCTCTAGCGAAGCCTGTCCTGTGCATCCTTTGCTAGCTGTTTCCATAATGTCCCCGCCTTTTCCATTTCCGCCTGTACCGCTCGCCTCCATGTCATCTTTGGTCTTCCTTTCTTATGTTTTACTTGTGGATTCCTTGTCAAAGCTGGTCAGATGATGCTTGTCGGGGGTCTCCTCAAGGTGTGCCCAAGCCATTTCCATTTCTTCACCTGTATGTCTTCCTTTACTGGCCTTTGGCTTCTTGTTCTCTCCCACAGTTGAGCATTTGTGACTCGATCGTACCACTTGATACCAACTATCCTTCTTAGACATCCATTTATGAAGCTCTGCAGTTTCCTTGCTGCTGATGCTGTGAGCCTCCATGTGTCTGAATCATACAGTAATACAGTCTAAAAGTTTGTTTAGAAGATCCTCAGCTTGGTGTTCAATCCCAGGTCCTTAGACATCCATATTTTCCCGAGGATGATGAATGCTGCTCTTGACTTTCGGATTCTGACCTTGATGTCTTCGTCTGTTCCTCCTGCCTTGTTAATGACACTTCCGAGGTAGGTGAAGGATTCAAAATATGTCAATGGTGTCCCTTGCAGTGTGATAGGAACGTTGGCTGCATTCATTTAAAGAACTTTAATTTTATCTGCATGAATATGGAGTCCAACACTACGGGAGAAGGTCCTGAGGCGATCTGTCTTCTGTTGCATCTGGGCTCAACTGTGAGAATGAAGTGCCAAGTCGTCTGCAAAGTCCAAGTCTTCCAACTGTCTGGAAAGGGTCCACTGAATGCTAGGTACCACGTTGTCCCGATGTGGTCGGTCTAATTATCCAATCCACTGCTAACAAAAAGAGAAAAGGCGGTAGCAGGCATCCCTGTCTCACTCCTGTTTTCACTTCAAACGAGTCTGTCCGCTGTCCCCCGAGTATGATACTGCAGCTCATTCCCTCATACATCTTCTTGATCAATCTCACAAACGCAGGAGCTTCCATATTGAGTCCCTATCTAGGCTGTCAAAAGCTTTCTCGTAGTCAACAAAGTTAACGTACAGGGAAGAATTCCACTCTGAGGACTGCTCCACTATTATAAAGTCAAAGTTGCAATCTGACCTGTTTTTCCTAATTTCTGAATACTCTCTATTTGTTTGGATGATTAAATTGACAAAAACAAAACAAAAAATTAACTAAAATTGGTCGCCTACAAAGATGCTATGGCTATTTCACTTTTTGGATTGAGCCGGTCACCATATTGTTTAGCCTGGAAGTTCTCGCTAGATATAGGCTACTCCTTCTCTCTCTCTCTCCCTTGTATCTTTTTCTCTCCCCCCCTCCCCCTCTCTCTCTTTCACTGCCCCCAGACAAAATTGCACATTTTCAACACAAGAGTGTTGGAGCATTTCTTTACACTGGTATCCTGGAGAACGAACACCGGGGGAGAATAGCCAAAAGGCTCGCTCTCTCACCCCAGACGAGAGACCTACATTAACAACTGTGCTATTCTAAACAGAGATGGCCTTTGAGAAATTGAGAGAGACAAAAGTTAGCAAACTCAATAGATCTAAAGACTTTTAGAGTGTACTGTTGGTGTACAGCGCGCACGCCGAGAAACATGTGTTTTCGCCATGAATACCGCGGGAGTGTGTTAACTGATGATGAAAATAACGCTCTATCCTTCATAGTATTCTATTTATAAAGTGTTACAAACACATGAATAACCCCCTCTCACAAGCTGATAAGACATTACGAGTAGTTACGCCCATTTGAATAACCTTTCTGGACGCTCTTGTTGTTATGAATGACCTGAGGTTCGAAAAGGGATAATCTAGGTCAATTTCCAAATGTTTTACACTCAAATTGTTCTTTGTACCTGCACAAGGGTATTCAAAACTATTAAACAAGCTCATCTTTTATCAGGTAGTATCATTTCATACAAAATCAAGCTCATTTGAAATATTTTGTATAGAAAAATGGAAGTCTTGTTTCCTGACTATCCTTTCGAGCTCCTCATGTCTAAGTGGGTCAATTTCTTCTATAATTTCATTGGACGAACATCTAGAGCTATCAACTTGGCATGTTTTGAATGAGACGTATGCCTCGATTACGAACCAACGCAGGTGGTTCAAGAAGAAGGCCACAAACGCACACAAACTCAAGCAGACTGACGCACACACACTTGACCTGCGTGAATGGGGATCCGACTCGGGACCCGAATGACATGTAAGAGGATGCGCGCTGCGCGTGCGCTGAGCCAGGAGCTACACTGACTCGGGACCAGAACGCAGGCGAGGTGCCGAAATAGGCTTATCGGGCTACATAAACCCGGCTCCCGCAGGATGAGGGTTAACAACTGTGCTATTCTAAACAGAGATGGCCTTTGAGAAATTGAGAGAGACAAAAGTTAGCAAACTCAATAGATCTAAAGACTTTTAGAGTTACACTACAAAGCAATCTTATCAAACAATTAGTCTGGATTCTAATAAAAGTCAGCTAAGGGACACACATACAAAAATACAAACACATCTGTTTAACCCGTACACTTATGATAAAACTGGAACTATTAAAAAGTGTAGCCTAACGTTTCAAAACTAGATATTTAGATCTAGATCTATATCTAGAATCTAGTTCTAGTCCCTCTGGAAATCTAGATCTAGTAGTAGGCCTAGATCTATAGTAATACTATCTCGACTCATCCTAATTGATAGGCCTAGATCAAGATCAAGATCTAGATATCTAGATCTAGATTTCTAGATCTAAATTTAGATTCTAGATCTATATAAAACGACAAAAAAGAAACACCACCGTTTCATTATGTTTGAGGGTTGAAGTCTGGCTTTTTATTATGTTTTTATTTCCAGGGTGCATATTCAGCGACATTGCTAAGCTAATAATAAAGGAAAAAGAATTTTCATCAGAAAAACGAGACTAGACATACCTGCTCTACTCTATATATCTAGATATATCTAGATCTAGATCTAGATCTACATCTACACTACATCTAGATCTAGATCCTAGAATCTAGATCTAGCAGAGACATCTACAGGCCCAACTTATGATAGAGACAGTCTGATGTTTACATAAATCTAGAATCCAAGTCAAAGGCAAAGATGCACTCCATAATGTAGGCCTACCGATTAGATTGAAGATTAGATTACGGGTGTTGGGACGCCGGACACGACAAGCAGACAGGCAACTTCACTGATAAATAAACTAGAATCTCCGTCCAATATCTAGAGCCAGAATCTAGATCTAGATTCTAGGCATTATCTAGAGATCAGGGAAAGCTAATCTAGATATCTAGATCTAAATCTAGATCTAGATCTAGATATAGATCTAGATATCTAGATCTAGAATCTATGTGATTGTAATGATTGTTGTCGTTGCGTTCGAAGTTGGTGGTGTAGTAGAGCGCTAGATCTAAGCCTAATTCTACTTACCGGCATACTTCTTCTCGAAGTTTTCTCTGATATACTGCACAAGTTCTTGTACCTGGAAAGGAAGATAAAGTAAAATTTACAAATAATAAACCCACAAAAAATTATAGTAAGTGACAGACCAAAGAAAGAACAAAATTATTAGTACGATGAAACAGAACAGCTTGATTTACCCCCATGATCACGATTTGTTGTTGAAACAACCGTGTTTATTTCCGGTGCAAAGGTTAGAGCAAGGCTAAGGGAGATCATGCTGAAAAGTAAAAGGTATTAGTTAGGACGGAGTGAGTGCCCTTGAAAAAATGCTACCGGAGCTCTGATGTTACTGAGAACACAAAAGACTTCAAATACACCTGAGTTGTTCTGTATTTCAATTTATATCTTTTGAAATATGTCCATACGTAGAAAAACCATCTGTCTTTTCCATTTGTTTAAATTGTGGATAAAATAGAACCAAAGGAAAAGAATGAGACAAAAAATGAGAGGACATGCGAGTATAATAGTATAGCGGGAGAGACACAAAGAGAGAGAGACAGCCAGACAGAACGAGAGAGAGAGAGAGAGAGAGAGAGAGAGAG